CACATGAATTGCTACCTACTGCAGGTATCAGTCTCCACTACCAGCTGACCAGGTCAAGACATCAACCGAATTTGATTATGAAGGAGGTAGTGCCAAATCAACTTCTGTGCACTTGTTCTTTGATTATTATTCATGTGGGCATTTGTTGTGACATCTTTTGTTATGCAGAAGGATCACCTACTGGTCGTGGAAGGGGCCGTGGTGGTAGAGGGAGGGGAAGGTCTAGAGCGGCGTATGGTATGAGATTGGATAGGATCCTTTTGATTTAATTTATTCCTGGAATTTTACTGAGGCAAATTTGGGTATATTAGTGGCTCTTACTGCATTAAAATTACAATTATTCGTGTGTATGCTGAAATGAAAGCTTAATTTAAAATATTATTCTAGGCAGATATTGTTAGGAGGTTGATGCCGTCCACAGCTGCTTGTGAAAATGACAACTTCTGAGAGTTTTATTTTGATATGGCAGAAACTGAATTGAACGACCTTTAATAAGTTTGAAATATTTGAGCTGTTGGTTTCTAATGTCGTATAGAACTGGTGGTACTTTATGACATGACAGACGCATCTCATTTCAGGGAATGGATATGCAGCTCCTGAGTATGAGGATGGAGGTTGGGATAGGAATCGTGGTTATGCGAGGGGCAGGGGTCGAGGAAGAGGTCGTAACTTCCGTGGCCGTGGAAGAGGAGGGTACAATGGTCCTCAGATTGATAACCAGCAAGATGCAGGACATTACAACCAGGAAGGTCCTGCTCCAGGCCGTGGTATTGCTTCGTATAATTGCTCTCTGTTTTTACATGATCTCATTAATTGCCAGTAGGTTTTGTGCCCAGTTGCTAGACCAATCCTTCTTAACTTTGCCAGACCAATCCATCACCAGTAGGTTATGAGATTGCTTAGTCTGCCTGAAAAATAGGTGTAACCTGTCTTGCATTAATTGATTGATTGGGTTTGGTTCTAGTGGGGTTTATTATAACAGAAATCTCTCATCGTTCAAACTATTATGAGCCTCCAGTCGCTTTCTTCATAGGCAATTCACGGACCTCTTTTTTATTATTATGAACTTATCCTAAACCTTGGTGGTTCTTTGTTCCAGAATTTTTTTTGCTTTATATTTGGTAAAATATGAGAACTGATATGGTCATTTAGGCTTTAAGACCATGGTTATCAAAATCTGGATCGTAAGATCATACAAACCTAAATTGCCAACACGATTCAAATCGTTGTAGAATTGAAGTTATAGTAGAATCGTGAGTAGAATTGTGTAGGATTATTGGGTTTTTGATTTTTTATCTTATTTTTAATATGCATCATCCTGATTTGTATTTTTACCTTATTTTTAATAGAAAATATAATTTTACGAACCTTAATATGATTCAGGGATGTTCATGGGTCGGTTTGGATCAGGTTTACCCTAAGCCCGTCAACCAAACCGAATGTGTCAGGTTAGAGAAATTGCCACCTACTGCCGACCGTAAGCATATTCAAAATTGACCGTGGCCCACCATTCAGATTGGTCGTCGGTTCGGTCGGCGAGACATGAAAAGAAATCAATCCACTTCCCACTCTTTCTCAGGTTGTAATTCAAACAAAAATCAAATTCAAACTTACTGACACATAGAGTAAAAGAGATTCAAACAAATATATTAAATATGCAAATAAATTTGAGAAAGAATAGAGAGTGGAATGGTAGAGATAGACTCACCATCGCCTAAATCTGAGCAAGATTCATCACCGTCGGAGTAAATCTGAGCATCATCGCCATCGTCTCATAGATTTGAGCATCATTGTCACCGTTGATTAGCACCATTGCCACTAGAGAGGGAGATTAAGAGCAGAAAAGGGGTTTCCAGTGAGAGGGATTTTGTCACTGTGAAAGGGAGACGAGGGTGAGATGAGAGTATGAAAGACTATTGTCACCTAGAGAGAAAGGAAGAAAGTGGTTTCTAGGAAGGAGACGAGAAGGGTGAGAGATAGACTGTAAGAGAGAAACATGGATGAGAGAGAAGATTGAAGAGGCATAAGAGAAAGGAAGGTGAGAGTGAGAGAGAGAGAGAAATTGAAGCGGTGGGAGAGAAATAAGGGTGAGAGACAGTGAGACTAAAGGGGCAGAAGAATAGACAGAGAGAAAGAGAGAGAGAGAGAGAGACAAACAGACAGACAGACAGAGAAGAGTGATGAGTGAGAGAGAGAGAGAGAGGAGAGAGACAGAGACAGAGAGATAGAAAGATGAAAAAATGGGTGAAAAAGTTCCGTGTCTAAAGCCTCATTTTCTAGTAGTGAGTCATCTCTATCATTCATGGGTAGAATAGAGGCGCGGATTTGGGAATTGTATATTTTATATAAAAATCAAATTGAAATATTTTATACAATCACACCTATTTAGGGAGTGTGATTAAAAAGTAGTAATGTATATATAATCACACTTTAATTAGAAGGTGTGATTAAAAATATATATATATAATCACACTTAATTGAAAAGTGACATAAAAAATAAATATTATCACACTCAATCAAATTAAGTGTGATTAAAATATCAATCTAATTTTTTTTATCACACTTCCAATAAAAGTGAGATCTTTTTTTTTTGTCAAAGTGTGATCTTTAACTATTTTTGTAGTAGTGATGTGAAATGTTGAATTGTAATATTGTTGATACTTGAAAATTTACAATTTTGAAAACTTGTAACCAGTTTCGGGGACGAAATTCTTTAAGGGGGGGAGGTTATAGTGATCCCAGTTTTCCCTCCATTGGTTATTGTATTTCAGACTCGGCTCCGTAGATGTCTATTGTTGTATATGCTTCTTTTCCGTCCTTTAATTCCTTGTATTTGAGTTTTAGTATGTGTTGGGCAGGTTTGTAACAAGTTGGTTGTGATTGGGAACAAATGGTTGCTGCCCAGATTTTTGTGTCTTCGCTCGAGCGAGACTTTTGTCGCTCGAGCGAGCTCTGTGTTTTAGTTCCTTCGCTCGAGCCAGGGTTCCTTAGCTCGAATGAGAGTTGAGTGTTGTGTCTGGTGGCTCGAGCGAGAAGTCTTGCGCTCGAGCTTGCGTCTGCATCTAGTTTTAGACCTGAGAGTTGCATTTCTTGGCTCGAGCGAGCTTTCCTTCGCTCAAGCGAGCGAGGTCTATGTTTTGGGTTTCTTCACTCGAGCGAGATTTTCTTCGCTCGAGCGTGCTTCTGGATTGCAGACCTAAAGCTTCGAGTTGTTGGCTTGAGCGAGGCTTTCTATGCTCGAGCGAGGTTTCCTTGTGTCTGGTCGCTCGAGCGACCAATCCTTTGCTCGAGCGAGCCTCGACTATATCAATTGGCAGTAGCGGGTTTTTACACACTTTTTCATCTTCTTCTTTATACAAACCCTAGATCCGACTGCTCTCTCTCTCTCTCTACATATCTTCTTTCTACAAATCCATCTAGCTCTAGTGTGTTTCTATCCTAGTTCCTTTGAGAAAATGGTGGAGCTTGGTGTGGGCTACATTTTGATCCAAAACTCCTTCGGTTTGGAGCATCTTGAGTTTTCTTCATCTTCTCCTTTGGGTCTTTTCTCTTGAGGTAGGGATGGCCTACTCCTTTCTATGGGTTTTGACATAGATATTGTGTATTTTGTATAAATGGTGGGTCATAAGTAATTTGGGGAAGTTAGGGTTTATGTTGAAATTATATAAAGAGGGGTTTTGTGTTTGGAAACTCCATGTGCATATAAGGCTTCGGGGATATGAGTTTGTGAGTCAAATTGGTGGAATTTGGTCTTAGGATCAATATTTGAGAAAATGAGAAAATGTCCTAATTAATGTGATAAATTAATTTGCATAATTAATTTGGGGAACATATGGAATTATGAAATTGAGTTGAAAATCATGAAATTGGGAAATTATGAAATTGAATGATGTAGTTGGATAAATGAATCACTCACCCACGAGAATGTTGGTATTTTATCTGTTTGATGCATTTATTACCTATTTAGAGATAACTGCCTTGGGCTATCGGTGGAGGATAGTCTTGTTTGTTGTAGACATTGTATGTTGATTAGGGAAAAACTAAAACTAATCACATTGAATATGTCATTGAATATGATGGTTGGAATAATACATCGAATATGTGTATTGATTGATTATTGTATAAGATAAGTGTTTAAATACATTGTATATGTATATTGTGTGGGAGGAGATAGGGGATGTACTCCATGGTTTGGGAGGAGATAGGGGATGGACTCTCAAACCTGCTTGGGAGGAGATAGGGAATGGACTCCATTGATAACTAAGTTGGCCGGAGTGTCCAGGGTGAAAGTCTCGAAATTCTGATTACGTTTGCATAACGTAGCTAATTGAAGTATTGGAAGTGTTTTAACATAAAATGTAGTCTCATTTGACTTGTGGTCAAAGGAAGTGTTCAATATGAGTTGTAGTCTCATTTAACTGTTTGGCCAGGTTTTGAGCCATGATTATGAATCAAAATTAGATAAGTAAAAGAAAGTGGAATGAAACATGAACATATTTATCATGGAACTGGAAAGTGATATAAGTTGATTTACAAGAGTTAATCATTTATCAAATGCTAATGTTTTAGTTATTTCTCATACTTGGTTTAGTATATCTCTACTGGGTTTTGGCTCACCCTATATGGGATATCATTTTCAGGTTCAGGTGATATGCCACCTCCAAGGACGTAGCTTGGGAGGCTTTGAGGCTAATAGATCTTTTTGTTGTTCTCTTTTAGTGTTACATGTAAATTCAAGCCAAGGGCTTAAAGTGTATTTGAGTTAGTACTCTCTTTTTGTAACCAAGTGTTGGCTTGGAAAGTTGTAGGCCTGTTCGACATTTATTTTTGTTGTCAACATGTAATACTTTTGTAATGACTACTTTAGTTAGCATTTGGTTTTGTAATTAATTAATTTGTTAATTAGTTAAAGTTTTGTAATAATTAGTTGTAGCTAGTTATTCAATTCAGTTTTGTAATAATTAATTAGCTTGTTAGTTAGTTAGTCGGCTTGTATTATTTATTCGAACCCTCCGTCGAGAGGGCCAATTTTGTAATAAGTGTGCGTGCGTGTGTGTATGTCTTCCAACCCCCATTTCTTTCTCCTTTTTACTTACCTACTTTTGTTTGTTAGTTTCAGGTCATGTTTCAATTAGCATACTTATGCTTTGCATGTTTGCATCCATTCATCTGTCTAGCATCCTTATGCTTTGCATGTTTGCATACATTCATCTATCTTGCATGCACGGGGCTCGGCGCATCATACAAACTGCATTGTATTTCAATACCAGGTTAAATACATGTATCAATTGTTGTATCTCACATGCCATTTTAGAATAGCCGAGCCTATCTCTAATTTGCATTTCCGTATGTGTTGCATTAGACATTTCAAACATGAACTAGGATCATGCATTGATTACTAACTAGTTTCTGTTTTGGCTTAGAGTACATTGTAAGTGTTTATGCTTTAGCATCTTGCATGAGTGTGAGTGCTACCATGATAGCATGCTTGCCATGAGGCTATTTGCTTATATGATACAACTGCTTGGATGCCTATGGGTGAAGGTTGGATTACTTGAATTGGAATAATTCATTGAAATCCGCATTTTAACCTACTTACGAGTAGCAAACTTCAAACCATTTTCCAAACAAACGGATATGCGATGCTTTGTTCCAAATTAGGCGATCTAGTCTATACTTGTGTGTTGTGCGCATCACATAGTAATTCTAGCTAATTAACCAGAATAAGAACGCATGTGTTTTCAAAAACAAGATATCATGTTTACTAGTGGCCGATCTTTGATCGGGCGAGCGGGGTTCCTCATAGCTAACCTTCCCCAATCGTACCCAAGTTCCCAGCCCGAGGTAATTTGGTGATGACGGACACGTGGCCTTAGGCACGAGTCAGGGTTTCCTAAATTCCCCCAAAAATAAAATATTTAGGTGGCGACTTTGTATCTGGAAAAGTAGTCCATGTTTTGCACTTCTT